TTGTAATGTAATTTTTCTAATAATGAATAGTAAATAGTTGCAAACTTAATAATTTACTTCATAAAATTAAAAATTTTGTTTTTAAAATGAGTATGTAAAGTACAGTGAACAGATTTTCATTCATTTGAATTCATCGAATATTTATCTGTCTGATTTCTGAGGAATTGGTTCAATATGTAATTTAATATCTGAATCCATGTTTTGGGATCAAGTCCAAAAAATTAAACTGATGTAAAGATGCAGGTATGCATACTTTTAATCTTAGAGCTAAGTTAATTTCATCAATTTTTATGTAATTCTAACTAAAAAAGTACGGGATAGATAGAGAATCGCGCGCCGCATAACGGTAGATAAAGGAACTAGCAATTATTAAATATTTTTATAATCTTTCTGAAATATTGCTGCAACATTTTCATGAAATATTACATTTGCATGTTTCTGTAATGTCTCTACAATGTTACATTGTAACTTTCAAGATTGGAACATTGCTGCAATATAATTGCAATGATCTGTGCTGTATGAGATAAGTTAAAAGTTACGAACTTTTTAACTAATTAACGAGTTATTACTCAACCCTGCTAACATCCTTCCAAAATAACTGTAGCTCGAAGATTTATTTTCAAATTCCGATTCTCTCCTTTATCTCTATAATTATATCCCAGCAAACACAATATATAAATGTTATATACTTAAGCATGTTACATGTAACGTATATGTTAGTTGTAATTTCCCACTCATAGATGTAACATTTTTAATATTACATATATTACATTGTAGTTATATTGTCATTATATCCCAAGATAGCACTAACTTATCAATACATCAATATGCTATTTGATATATAATTACAATATAACTACAATGTAATATATGTTATATTAAAATGTTACATCTATAAGTGGGAAATTACAACTAACATGGATGTTACATGTAACGTACATTTTATATTGCCTGTTATATTCCGTTTTATTATAGCAATGTAACAATTATATATCGGTGTTTGCTGGGATCCCATTAATGAAGTACGGAAAATCACTGCATCACTCGCTGTTCGTCCTGTCGCGGCGGACGAATCATCGCGAATGATTCGGCGGCGCGTTACATAATTGTCAGGGCTAGTCAGTCATCGGGCGAATTTTCCAAGCGCAGGTTAAATTTCGTGCTAACAGGCGCGGCAATAAATTATAAAAGATGATCGGTAATTAACAGTAACTGCAACTGGATAGCGTTTATGTCGCTCTGTTATGGAATATACCGCCCGATGCCTGTAGCTGACTCTTTATGGTAGGGTGTGCTTATGACGTGAATTATTAGCTCTTGGGTTCTGCAGTGCCTCTGGGCTATGTGTATACACGTATATGTACGGTGTGTTTTATCTCTGTGTATGTGAGCACGGGCGTGGCCTGACGAGGGTGTCGGGCGTGGCTACGAACCGACTCCGAAAAAGCTACCCTAGAGGGAGAGAGAGGATGAGGAGGAAAATGGGGAGGGTAAGAGAGAGAGAAAGAAAGGGAGAGAGAGAGAGAGAGAGAGAGAGAGAGAAGATTGAATATACACTGTGAATTGATTCGGGATGGATCCTATTTTGTCCATGTGAGTGTATCTGCAGAATCTTTTCTCGCTAAGCAAGACGAAAAAAACAACCCCTTTCTTATATGGACGATATTCAACGCGATACGAACAAAATTAACTTGTGTTGGAGGATGAATTTTTAGGAACGCCTAAATAAGCTTAAATATAAATATCAAAAATTTAATTAATTAGTAAAATTAACATGTAATAAATTTTGTATTGTATATATTAAGCTCGAAAACAAAGTCCTTTGAAAAAAAAAATGATTCGAACAAAAATTGTAGAGCTAAATATTAGGGTGACTATAAATTGATTATAAATTGACTATAAATTTTTAAGACCATGTCAAATTTGACTATGCGTTTTCTTTACACCAATTAATTCGTCTAATTATTTTATGCATAAAAGTTTAAGATGAGATTAACGAAAATAAATATTTATTATTAGCAAGATATTTTCTATTTTATGTCAAAATATTGTTAACTTCAAGCATTATAATTCGAAAAGCACTGAATGAAAAAATACTTTATTATAGTGTTTGAAAAAGCTCTCGAGATAAACTACAAGAATGTGCAACCAAAAATAGGGATTTTCATTTAAAAAATCTCAAATAAATTTGACATGGTCTTAACAATTTATATAGCCACCCTAATATTATTAGCCCTATACAATTTTTGTTCATCATCTAAGCACAACACTATGTCGATAAATAAATATTTAACAAAAATATCTAAAATTCTGTATTTTTGTGCCAGAATGTCGCGAGTGTATCTTATTATTTGGTTTACTTCTTCGCGGGGATGAAGATTTTCGATATCCTGGGGATGATGGGGTGAAGGCTGAAGAAGAAACGACGAGAGAGAAAAAGAGAGGGATGGGAACAGATGAAGAGGAGGAAAAGGAAGGAGGCGGAGGAGGAAAGCCACGTTGCGGAGAAAGAGACAGGATTCGGAAAAGCCTTCACCATCGTACCAGACCACCGTGTCTGCGTTTATACAGTGGTAATGGGCTGTCAGTAGCAGACGTTCGTTGCTCGTGCCTTATACACCAAACCATTATTCTCCTGCTATCCCGGGTTAGGTTCTATCGGTTCACAAACCCTCTCTCATCCCCATCCCTCTATCTCTTTCCCGGCTTTCGCAGCGCATTTCTCGTCGTTACCGCGCCAGTTTTTTTTTCCCTCCTTTTCTTTCCTTTTTCTCTCTTTTACTCGATTTAATGCCGGCATTCTTTTGCATACAAATGCGATTTTTTAACATTTTAAATCACTCCCCGGAGAGTTCTCTATAACATTTATCTGCTTCTCAGACTCCGACGTTGATCCTCCAAGTCCGAGTCTTTTACATATAGCGTTTTATTTATTTATTTTTTTTTTTTTATAATTATTTATAATAAATAAATGTGCTTTCTCTTTCTCAGAAATACGAGATGACGATTTTTTACTGAAAAATTAGCCGACAAAGTAAAAATATATTGTATATAGGCGAAGTTGGATTTTAAATTTTGACAATTAAATTTTAAATAGAATTTCTTTTTGAAAATAAAGTCTTCAAAACGTGTAAAGTTTCATTATAAAAATCTAAAAGGTTAGATATTTTTTTAATTTAATTGCCGAATTTTATATTAATACTATTAATGTTACGCCGATTCTTTTTCCCTTTCAGAATTAAAATTAGAAAAAAACAGAAAATTAAATTATATTAAAAATTAACCAATATATTTTTTAAATTTCCATTTTTTTATTATATGTTAAAAATTCGATGAAAATAATTGGAAATATTTTTACAATGCACCCTTTTGCTTATATTATATTTTATATTTTTATACATATTTAAATATAAATTTGCTTTTATTCGATATTTGGCGGAATATTAATATTGCAATATTTCTTCGGCGATCAAATTTTTACGATTTTTCGTTTCGAGTTTGCTTTTCGTCTATATCTTATTTTGCGAAAAATGATGAAAATTCAGACCAGCCCTGCCACCGATTCTTTCGCCTCGGCCATATATTCGCCAACTATATTCCCCCTCCTTCAACATACCTTCCTCCTCTCAAGTAATCAATACTATGAGGCATCCTGCACAAGACAGGTACAGCACTGATCCAGATTTTATAACCAGAGGAAAGACCGGACACACATAGTATCAGAAATGCAAAAAAATTCTTTATCTTTGAAGAAAGTTATTTGAAAACGTGTGTGTACGGATTTATATTCGACATATAATTTCATGATTTTCTATTTTATTATATGCCAAGCAAAATTAATACACAATATACGCCAAAGAACTTATCAAATTTGTTTGCGTGGTTTTTTCATTCTTTTTTAATTCTCAATATAATTTAATTACTCAAATATAAGTCATAAATTAATTAAACGCTTAAAATTAAATTAAGTGCTTTGAAATTTCTATTAAATAAAAATATAATGCATAATAAAAGAGTAAAAAAAATGTTTGTATTTCATAATTTAAATTCTTTATAAGAGTTTTAACAAGGCTCTGTAATATAAATATAAATTTAACGTATAAGACGGGCAACAAGAGCCAAATCGCGGATGACAATGCGTTATCCTAACGAAACTAAATAATTTTCCGTATTGGGGGTATTGAAATTAAATCTCAAATATGAGATTATTTTATATTTTAAAATCTTGGCCGTGTCCAAGTAAAATTTGGTGCCTTGTGCACCGGTATTTAATTCTAACGGAAAATTATTTAGTTTCGTTAGGATAACGCATTGTCATCCGCGATTTGGCTCTTGTTGCCCGTCTTATACGTTAAATTTATATTTATATTACAGAGCCTTGTTAAAACTCTTATATTGATACACGCTGGCTTAAAAATGCGTTTGTTTACCAACATTAATATATACATATAACAGAGAAAAGTATAGAATCGAAAGGATCTGAATAGCTCAGCTGGAAGAGCAGTCGCCCGGCAAGCGAAAGGTCTCGGGTTCGATTCCCGATTCAGCGATTTTCGGATCTATATTTTTCTCTTGCATTCATTTATTTATTTTCCGTGGGGGGGTTAAAGGGGGTATTGAAATTAAATCTCAAATATGAGATTATTTCATATTTTAACATCTTGGCCGTGTCCAAGTAAAATTTGGTGCCTTGTACACCGGTATTTAATTCTAACGGAAAATTATTTAGTTTCGTTAGGATAACGCATTGTCATCCGCGATTTGGCTCTTGTTGCCCGTCTTATACGTTAAATTTATATTTAAATTCTTTAACATAATTTTTTTTAAACATCCCAAGTAGCAAGCTGACGTCATTAAACATCAATGACGTCAGCTTGCAACTTGTCCAGATATAGTTGTCGCATTATATGATAAATAGTATTTTTGTAATGCTTAAAATACACATGTATTTATATTGAAAATAAATGTTATATCATTGAAAATTCTGTAAAATATCTTACCTTTTTCTCATTATCGGGCAGCGCATCGTACGAAATTTCCTTCTGTTCTCTCAGCTCCAGGTGAGCTTTGTGCATCCTTTGTCTGATATCCTCCACTGACGTTTCACCCGTAGCAACTATACGTTCGATCTTTTTAATTCGACTTTCTCTCTTTTTTCAAGCTCCATTATTTTGCTTTCCGTGTCCCTGTTGATGAACTCTCGTATCTCGTTTGCTTTACTCTAAGGAATAATTATGATCAACCTCATCATATTTGTAGGCAAGCGATTTAATAACAAAAAATGTAAGATTCTCTTTTTTTAAACATATTTTTTTATTCAGATATAAATAATAATTACCTCGAAATTGTTGATTTTATCTTCAAACCTCATTGCCGATGTTTCGAGATCTTCATTGATGTTATCTAATTGTTCTTTCAAGTCATTAACATGACTGGTCCAGCAGATTTCGCAGAATCTCTGTGAGAATATAGAAATATAAACTAAAATATTGAAAATTTAATAGTAGATAATTTTATACAATTATTAATTTCCGACATGTATTTTTTATATAATTATTGGATTTCCTTTATTCTCGTTACTTTATATAAATACATCTTGTTTAATAATTACAAGCAGAATTGATTGGTAATAAATTAGAGTAATAAATTATTGTAATTTAAATTTATTGCAATTGATACGAAACATCTTAATAAGAATATTTTATGCAAATTGAAAAACTAATAGACAATATTTCATATATTTATTAGCTCTTTATTATTCTTTTGAATTAATAAATATAGATTTTCTAATAATTACAATTAGAATTTATTAATAAAATAATATATAGTAATACATATGTTTATATAATTGTAATTGTAGTGTAATTTTATTGCAATTAATATGAAAAATGAAAAGTTGAAGATAAAATTGAGAAGAAATTAAGATAAAATCAGGATTCTCCTAATTGCAAAATGCAGATAATTACTTTTAATCGTGTCAACTTCCAAATATCCAAAAATTAAATTACTTACGCGTTTGCAGTGCTTGCACTTATTCTCGCAAATTTCACCGCAGGTACGACATTTGTTTTCTCGAATTTTTGGCGGTAAGGGTGCAAAACTCACAGAACTCTTCGATTCTCTCTTATCAGTTGCACTGGCGATTACTATTACGTTGCAAACTGGACAAATAGCGCTGCCATCTAAAATAAATACGCTATTAATTAATATTATATATAATATCAATATAATAATTAATATTTTTATTATTATTATATTTATAATTGTGGATTAATACGCTATATTAATTATGCAGAAAGAATGACATTTCAGATGACGTTTGCTCAAAAGTTTAAAAGGGTGAAATATTATTCGAATTTATGCAGAGATTATTTTATTAATAAAATTATTTTTTATTACTCTTTAATTATATCGTAACTTTTTGACTTTGTGCATTAAATTATGAGTATATATTAAATAACTTTTTGGCAGTAAAATTGTTATAAATGATTTCTACATGTATATATACATATAAATATGTACGTATATAACATTATTTAATTTAAAAAATTAAATCATTGAAAAATATATATATTAAAAGAGATGTACGTTGCAAGAGATAATGATAATTTTTATATTAATGATGCACTGATTATGCACTTGCTAACTTCAACTTTAATTATATTGCTTTAATAATATAATTTCAAAGATTAAAAAGTTAAAATGCAGTTGTGGTAGTTTAGTAACGAAGTAACGCGATATATAATTTAACGCTATAATTATAAAATTAAATTAAATTAAATTAAATTAATATTGTATAAAAATAACCAAGTGCATTATTCAAGCAATAATAAATTAAAGATGTAACTTACAAGAAGCTTATAAACATTTATGCATTATTTTATGAAATCAAATTAAATATCAAAAATAAAGCTTTAATAAAATGTTTTTTATTCCTATCAAACGATTCGACTTTGAGTGATAGAAAAATAATTTTTACTTAAGAATTAAATAGTATTTTAAGTTTATTACCTTCTTTATACGTTATCATAATTCGATTTTTAAAACATTCCATGCAGAAAGTGTGACGACATTTCATCGTTTTGAATGATTTTACTTTGTTCTTGCATACAACGCATTGTAATTCATCAATAGCTCCGAGCGAAGCTGTCCTATTACGAAATAAATTAATAAAAATTAATATAAACAATAATGATCTAATACTATGCATTTATTTGTTGCACGAGAAAAGAGCAATAACTCGTATAATTTATTTATGTTATCGTTGCAAATTTGGTTAATTTTAAATGAATTAATTATATATAAATAACAGCTTATTAAATATATTTATCAATTCGTTAAATATAGTTTTGCCAAATTTGTAAATTATATTTTTTTTTATTAAACTCTCTAATTTTGCTAAAATTCGCAAAAACATTCCACAAATATGACTTTAATTATTACACATGTATACAAATTACATATGCAACTGCATTACATATTTAAAATAAAGAAAAATCATTGATGATCTATTTTTTTATGTAGAATAATCTTCCCGATTGTATCATGAGAGTTACAGAAATTATATATTAATAGAATAAAATATTAATAAGCATACCTGCGATGACGCATATTTTGTTTTCTTGATGAAAGATTCTTAGATCGTATCAATTTTCTGCCAAGAGAAGCAGACAAAATCCTCGGTACTTGTCGCATCCCTTTTTTTGAGCTCGATGCAGCACCATTTTCCAAATTCGAGTTTACTGGACGTGGCAATTGTCGTTTAACCATTGTTTTTTCTTGTACACTGAAAACAAATTTATTCATTTCACTACCTTTCAACTAAATTACTATTTTTGAATTATATTAGTATTTAAGTCAAATATACGTTTCGTTAGATTCAATATATTTAATTTAAATATCTTTACATGTTTAATTAACAAAATAATATATTTAGTTGAAAGGTTTAGTTAAGTTTATTTTTTTAGTGTGCTCTAAATAAATTATATCATAATTTAGAATGCTTGAATTTTTATATATGAGAGTGTGTTAAAAAATTCTTATATTCATACATTTTATATATATATATATATATATATATATATATATATATATATATAAAATAAGAATTTCAATACTCTCTCACGTATTCATAATTTAAGGCTTTTTATACAAATGTATTTGAATAATTTAATCTCATAAAAAATACTCATTATTTATTAATTAACATTATCGACTAATCGAATATATTAATATTGGTTTTTCATTTTTGAAATTTTATAATTTTTTTCCAAATCTTTATTATACAAAAAAATTTTCAAAATAATAATTTCTTTTTCATTACACAGTTCTAGCTTTGCAAAGAATTGAATAAATGTAATCTTAGAAATAATTCGATTCTTTTTGAATTGCAAAGATATTATTTCACTATAACTATATTTCACTTCAAATTCATATTTTTCCACATTAATATACAGTTTACAGTAAAGAATCGTATTGAATTACACGAAATTTGATACTTTAAATATTATTAACGACGTTTTTTACGTTATTTTTGTAAAAACTAAATATTATATATGATAAACCGTCTTCCAGTATATCCTGATAGAAACTGATATAAAATATTTGAGCGATTTATGCCATCGCGGCCATCAGGTAACAGTGAATCAGATAAGATAAAAGTTATCATGAAAATCGTTTATCCGATTTATAAAACTTATTGATAAATATTTTAGAATAAAGAGTAAATATTTTAAACACACATACATACACGAACATTAATTTTACGCGTATGCGCGATTATATATATATATATATATATATATATATATATATATATATATATATATATATATATATATATATATGTATATGTAAAATCATAAAGAATCTCATCTTCGTTTTTTTAAATACATTTTATGTATTTTGAGGAATAATATAAATCTTTAAAAAAGATCATTTTTGCATATTTTGTTTCTGATTTAATTATTCAAATATTTAAATATTCAAAAATTTTACGCACACAATAATGTTTTTATATAATAGTGTATAATACATATATTGGGACACCCTGTATATATGTATATATATATATTTTTTTTAAATAATATAATATTAATATTTATAAAGTATCTTGTGATAAATAAAATATATAATGCGCTTTGTATTTATAAGTATAAAATGTTTTTGTCTCATTTTCTTTGCTATTTTTATAAAAATTTTAATAAATTATAAATTTTAATATATGTAAACATATAACATTTTAATGTGGAACAATAATGTATAATTACTTTAAAATATGTGATATAATAAAAGGCCAACTTAACGAGCTTATATGCTATTAATTGAAAAATTTTTATTTATTAATTTACGTCATACTATACAAAAGTTACGATAAACGTTTCGACTGTACGACAGTCTTTCTCAATATCCTAATAATATGTTAAAAAATTAATTTAGTCATTTCGACATCATAAATAAATACAACAATTATAAGATTATATGACGAACGCAGTACAAAATTCATGATTGTTGGCATGAGTTAGAGCGTCAGATGCTGTTATATTATGTAACGACATTTTTTGTCAACGAACATAACACCTTTGTTAAAAAATTATTTCTTTTTACTTAACATAATCACAATGTGTACTTTTTTAAACAACAAATCGACAGATATCGATTTGTTGTTTAAAAAAGTACACATTGTGATTATGTTAAGTAAAAAGAAATAATTTTTTAACAAAGGTGTTATGTTCGTTGACAAAAAATGTCGTTACATAATATAACAGCATCTGACGCTCTAACTCATGCCAACAATCATGAATTTTGTACTGCGTTCGTCATATAATCTTATAATTGTTGTATTTATTTATGATGTCGAAATGACTAAATTAATTTTTTAACATATTATTAGGATATTGAGAAAGACTGTCGTACAGTCGAAACGTTTATCGTAACTTTTGTATAGTATGACGTAAATTAATAAATAAAAATTTTTCAATTAATAGCATATAAGCTCGTTAAGTTGGCCTTTTATTATATCACATATTTTAATTGTATACGAGCCGAAGTTTAATTTATAAAATATATATATATAATTACTTTATTATAAATGTTTAGGGATAAGGACCAAAAATATATATATAGAAGTGTTATAATAATATATATGTGTTATAAATTATCACTAAATAACTATAACACAAATCGGAGAACAAAAATAACAAAAAAATTTTATTATTTTAAATGATTATAATTATATTTAACAATATATTAGACATAAATTGCTATATATATGCCAAAAAATACACCTGCATTAATATAGTGTTAAATAATTTAGAAATTACATGCAATTTTTTATATTAAATGTAAATATAATCTAAAATATATATATATATATATATATATATATATATATTTGATTATTTTTGCCAATAAATTATAAAATGGCTGTTTGTATATTATTTAGAATTTCAGTTTTTCTATACATATAAATTAAATGCTTTTTTTACATAGAACCCGAAAGAAACATCTAATAAATTTTATTGTTATCTCAAATTATTCAGTATAATATTTATACATATGTTTTACTTACTAAAACGTTTTCTTTCATCGACGCGCGCGTCGTCGTAGAATTCATTGTCTAATAATCTAATAATCACTCGTAGTTATATTTCGATCTCGAAACACGCGCATCAAGGACATGTAATTTCAAACTGTTTGAAAATACGTGTTCGTCACTTAGTTCTAGAAAATAAAACTAGATTGCTCTGATTGATTGAACGCAGATAGGGGTAAATCCAACGCAGCGGAATTTCTATTCTTGTTGCCTATTCTATGGTTAATCCCGCAAGAAAACAATGGTGTACAGCAACAAGTGTAAATTATAAATATTTTGGTTGTGTTGTTGGAAAATTCTAATTATATTATTTGTAGGACAATGCGGTAGCAAGAGATCGACTTTTAATCATGTTCACGTAAATAATAACTTTTTTTCTAATTTTGTGATCAAATTAATACCATCTCTATTGAAGAAAATTAACCCAAGTGGTTTAGGTTATATGTGATTAAGATAAAATTAAATTAACCAAAACTAATCAAAATAACTAATTTATTTTTATCCGATATATTTTTATATTTTTTTATAATTTTATTTTATATATTTTATATTTTTGTTTTATATTTTAAGAATTTATTTTTTTCCTAATTTTAATAAATTAAGGCTTGTTTTGTTCTTTTAGGTTGAGAAAATAAGGAATACGGGTTAAATGCCCTTGCTACGCAAATTATTATTGAAGCTGACAATTGTTGTATTAATTCTGGTAGCTCTTTACTGCTATCAGACGTCAAATGGTGGCCGCTGGATTGTATCCAGTCTGCGAATGCAAAATGCAAGCCTTGCAAATCTTACAACCACCTTGATGGTAGCCAATTATTCCATCGAAATTGTTCAAGACAATTATTTGTCTTCGACAGCGAGGACTCCGCCACACAACTGGACAAATTATTATAATGTTTGGTGCATCTTTACCAAAGTTGCCTCAAACTCACCCATGAGACAGAAATTTCACTTGTTTGTAAATTCTTTACTCAAATTGGCCTCTGTAAATATTGCTTTCCATGTGATAAGCGATGACAATAGTCAAAGTATAGCACAAATTGTTATCCAAAATGTAATGATTAAAACTGGAAAGTTTATGAAGGTAATTTTCATGTTAAATTTATGTTATTTTTTCTCTATTTATAATGTTTATAGGACAGATCTAAATATTTGGTTTTTTTTTTATTTAAATGTTTATTTTATATGTGATGTATAGAAATTACAAATAATATTTTAAAATATATATTTAAATAATATTATTTGTAATTAAATATGTATTATATATTTAAATATATATTATATATTTAAATATATATTTTATATGATTGCATAAATAAATAACTTTTCTGTGTATAATTTCAGGTATTTTATTACGATGTACATAAACTGGCTGCACAAATAGAGGATATTGTGTCAGTCATGTCCCCACATTTCAGTAGTAAACCAGGAACATATTATTCCGATGCCTTATTCTTTCTCTCGTTGGGTATGCACAAGATTGCACCCAGCCATCAGAGATTCGCCGCAATGTTTGACGCGGACACAAAATTTCAGAGAGATGTAAAGGATTTATTCGAAGAGTTTAAGAATTTTGGAAAGGAGGCTCTGTTCGGTTTGGCTCCAGAGCTCACCCCAGTTTATCGACACGTTTTATACTTCTATCGTACCAAACATCCGACGACAATGTTTGGCGAACCTCGACATAAAGGCGGATATCCTGGCTACAATAGTGGAATGGTGCTTTTTAATTTAGAAAGATTACGGGAGTCACGTGAATACAACGAGATTATTACTAAGGACAGTGTGGACAGAATAACGGAGAAATATCATTTCAAAGTAATATTTTATTTATCTAAAAAAATCTTTTTAATAAATCTATGTATTAGGTTTAAAATTAAAATTATGTAGTCTAAAAATTTATATATCTAAACACAATTATAAAATTATAAAGTTTATTTAAAACTAACAATAGAGAGAATACAGCTTTATTTATTATCCGAATTATTTTCCGAAATTTAATTTTCAAAAAATTTTTAATTAGTTATATTAAACTTATAGAAGACTCTGACGTTTCTGTAAAAAAGAAAATTGATTTAAGTTTGGCCAAAAAATTTATTGCATTTTATATGAAAGATATCATAGAACATATTTTATTAATTTATTTGATGAACTTAATTACTTGTTTTATTGTAGGGCCATTTAGGTGATCAAGATTTCTACACACTTCTAGGCATGGAAAGACCAGAATTTATCCACACAGTTGATTGCGGTTGGAATAGACAACTTTGTACCTGGTGGCGTGATCGTGGATATGCGGATATATTTGCTAATTATTCAGAATGTCAATCAGAAACCAAACTGTGGCATGGAAATTGCAATACTCCTATTCCTGCTAATTAATGATTTATGAAATTTTTATGATCTTTATGAAATTTATTCAAATATGTAATATGCCTGCGTGTTGTAAATATTATATATAAAGGTGCTTCCAATTTTTGCTTTTAAGGACAACAATGTTAAAGAATGAACAAATTAAGAATGTTAAAGATTTATAAATAAAACAGTGCCTATTTGTATTAATTAATAACAGAAATTCTGTTTTAAAGTTATATTGATTAAAAATTAGAAAAATATATTTTTCTTCTTTGTCTTTTGGAATTAAATACTTATTAAAAGAGTGAATTTTTACTGATGATGAACTTTACTTAGTTAATAAAAAACGGCATAGTTTAAGTTTAAGAAATATGTCCATTGCGTGCAAAAGTTTATACATATTAATACATATTATAATCAAATGTTAATTTAATGGTGCTTACAAGATCTTTCAGTTTTGTTTTCTTTTGTAGTTGTAATTTTTTGTTTCCATATTTCTTTTTCAGTGGCAATAATATATATATTTTGTATTAATTATTAATGTAGTTAATTATTTGTAAGTTATAATTAATTACACTTAATTGCTTTATAATATAAATAAATTTTTACGAATTTTGAGTATTATCAGTGTTTGTATTTTGAGTAATATTATTAGAAAATTATATATATATATATACATATATATATATATATAGAATATATTACTATTGTAATTATATATATTATATATATAAATTGATTATTAATAGTTTATATAAAGCAATTTATATTAGAATGTGCATATTTATATGAAAAATTTCATTCTATTTAAGGAGAGTAAACTTAAATTTTATTTCAGATAATCTAGAATTTACACAACAAAATTTATCTTTCTTTTACATTTACAAAATTTGTTTTTCAGCAGATATTTGTTATAATTGCGAATATTACTTGAAATCGAGTTTGTTACAATTATAGAATTGTCTATAAACACAAGCATATAACAATACATTTTTGTTATTATTTAAATAGCCTTATATTGATGAATCATGATTATAGATATAATTTTACAACAAATATACGTTTAAATTCCTTTGCAACATCATTTTGCACCCTGCTGTTCTTTAGTGCAATTACAGTCACATTATATATATATATATATATATATATATATATATTATTATTAGTCATTTAATTTTTGTGCATACAAATTTGAATATATTATTGTACATTTCGTAAATTATACATTACTTTTATTAGATCAATTTTTTACAAAATATAAAAGAGAGTATGGATATAATAGGAGAGAGGGAGAAAAGAAAAAAGGAACATTCTAAAAATGCAATAAATCGGATAGTCTCTATTATTAATCGACAATAAGAAAAACAGGAACTATAAATGTCCGATTATAAATATAATCAATTTGAAGCTATTGTATGTATTTTTATTGCCAATCAGTCACATATTGTATCTTATATGTATACTATTGCATAACTTAATTGATATGATTAATACGCATTTTTTAAAGAAATAAAATATAGAGATTTTTTGAATAATTTATAATATTTATATATATATGTTGTTAAAAGTAAAAAAATCATATGAATTTTTTTGCGAAATGTGTTAAAATATAATAAAAAAGTATTTTCATGTCACCATTCAATATAATATATGAAGAGATTTTCTTTTTGATTCTTTCTTCTTTCATGAATTAAATAGTTTTAAATCTTGATCAATTAAAAAAAAAAAAAAGTGTTCTCGATATATTTAACAATCAATATTATTGAATCATGACATAAAAAATAATTGTGCATTTACAAAAATTCATATGAATTTCTTATTTTTGATGTCATAATTATAATTCAACATTACAATAATGAAAAACAGAAACTCAGATGTCACTATTTACTTTTTTATAAACTATTTTACATAAACTAAAGTGAATATACAAAAGTATGTATAAGCTTCTCGCATATATTTAAAGCTAATTCTGACTTCATCTGATTCTCATTTCAAAATATTAAATATGATATTGATACATTAGACAAATAAAACTCAGATTCAGATAATTATTACATAGAATATTAAACATGCAGAAAAAATAACAGATTACATAGAAAATAAATGAATGTTTTAAAAATTGTAAAAACAAAGTGATCAAACACACAGAATTCGAAAAATATTTTATACCTACTCAAACTTATTACATACATGCATTTTATCTTACAAAAATGATCTTTTCTCTCATATATATAAATTACATGATATTTTATTGTGTTCAAAACTTATATTGTCTTTCAAAATTTGAAAGTAAAAGAAAATATGAGAATAGATTTATTTTCAGAACAACCTTCCCTCATATATTTTTTATTTAATTATTTAATCATATTTAAAATACTTAGTAAAAGATATATACGCTGCTTTATTGGCAATTTTATAACAGTTTGATAATTGTTGGTCTTTTATAAAATAAAATATGTAAAATTAACAGAACATAACTTTTTTCATATTCCTTTGGTAATAAAATATTGCCAATTCTCATCGGACAGTTATGATGATTTAGACACAATGCATCCTAAAAATGTCGAATCTAGAAATAAAGATATTTCTGATACGCCTTCTGTATAAATATATAGATTACAAATTCTTTATTTTAAGCAATGCTTTTATGCAGATATTAAAAAGAGAGCGCACTTTCTTCAGTCTTTATTTCTCTTTAATTATTATATTAGAAAAAAGCAATATTAATCACAAAGCTTTATATTTTAAGATATGAATTTACTTCAAAAACACAGTCTTTATATACTTATATCTGATTTATATTTATAATAAAAGTTCAATAAATTAACTGGTTTTCAAACACAAATAAATAAAATTCATATTTCTTTTTTTATATGTATATAAAAATATACGCTTCCAGCTTACAAATTGTTCCATTAGGTATGAAAACTTTGTGATTAAAATTGCAAACAAATTTAATGTATATTTTATGATATCATAGTTACATATATGGCTGATACGTGACCTATTGTAAAAGTTTTGTTCTAATAAAAGTTAAATGTCGTTAAGGCTTTCAAGTTTTTCAATGGAATTTGTTGTGTCAATTATACTTAGGAACATTAAAACAAAAATAAATAAAATTAAACAAAATCGAATAAAATTAAACATTACCTTAAAAGATACATAGTTTTTATGTGATACAATTGTTCATCTTACGCTTCTTTCCCTTAAACACATTCTTGCAAAAATCGAACATTTTCAATTACATATTAACTTTTTGCCATTTTGTAAAATTTTGCAAAAAGTTTTCTTACAGCTATAAGTGATAAATTGCAATTTTGCTTCGTTATCAAAATTCTTATACATGTCACATTCAGTTTATACATTTACACATAGGTTAATATAAAAAGAGTCACTACAATTATTCGTTGTATATTGTAGATCTTCTTGTTTGAAACAGAATGTTTAGCTGGACATACAAAAGATACAATTTGATTAATATCATACTTCGATGATACTTCTTTGTAAAAATTAATATCAAACAAGTGTGACAAAGTGTGTAGTTCTTTTTTATAAATGAATATTAACTCTTATTAGAATTATAAAACGTAACATATACAGCAAGTCAGTAATTCCTAGACTCCTTCCTAATGTGACTCATGTTGCTTTATTGATTTTATAAATATTATTGAGCAGTATATGTTTCCAAAATGTAGAAATATTATAAAATGATTGTCTTGTATACAATACTTAATTACATATTAAATACATACATATGTATGTATGCATATGTTGTATGTGTTTGAAAAATAATGTGCGTGTTTCAAAACAACATAGACACATAAAAAAAGGAGATAAATCTGTACTTTATAAATCTTAATAAATTTACAAATATAAGCATCGTTCAGATCTGTAAAAATTTATGGTCATAGCCCCAAACTTCATCATATTATATGTATATTATAATACCTTTTTAGTTGTATAAACATTTTCACGTAAAAAATGGTATCGATTATTTTTTGTCATTTTATTATTCATAAGATTTTGGATCCTTATTGTGCAAATTATCACATTGCATTCACATGTAAAAAGATACAAACACGACAGATTGCTTTACTTATCCAAGGAACTAGTTCGTCTTGTTAATCCTTCAAAGTTGTATTAATACTAATTATTATTTAATCTTGCGAGCAGCTTACTAGATATATAAAGCATATATCAAAAACACATCCGTTTACTTCATCTACACTTTTCTACGTAGAGAAAATTTTATAAATATTTGTCAAGGATCTGTCTCCCTTTCTTCTCTCTCACTTATTCTCTTTTTCTCACTCTCTTTGTTTCTTTATGCGTTAATTGCTGTTAAGAAAATATATGGAAAATGTATATAACTCAATTCAATTCTTGACATTTTGGGTAGCTTTTTCTTCAGTCAAATTTACAGCTCATACTAAAAAATGTTCCTACATTATTTGAACAATATAAATGATTTTTTTCTAAATATATTTCCATTTTTATAGCCAAATTTGTCAAGAATAAATTTACATCAATAAAATCAATTAAAAAATTGATATTTTTCTTAAACATGAAGATTAATTTAAGTTTCAAGTTTATACCTGTTATATAAAATTAAGAAGTTTTGATACACATAAGTTCTCTTCTTTTCCAAATTTTCATTAGATTGTAATTTCTTTTCTTTGTTAATAGTTTTCTTCAGATAGTTTTCTTCTTGAATTAAAAACAAAGTTCGATTAATTTTCAAAAGCAAGGACGTCGAATCTATAATATTAGATTGAGTTTTTTATTACTACTATCTATCATATTTTCTAATTAATCTGCTCTATCTCTGTTACTTATAGCTGACATTAAAATATATTATATCTGTATAACGATATATAACAATTGCGATTGTTAAAGAAATCACTGGAAATAAGCATATAAACAAACGACTAAAAATAAAGAAATTTTAAAGATAAATAATTTTATATTTATCTGTAAAATTTATAATCATACTATAATATTAGTACTATATATTATATTAACAATATATATTCCCAGCTATGAGTCGCAGTTAGCAATAATTGAAATATAAAAAAAATAAAATCAAAGATTTTTTTAATTAAGGCTTTAGCACACTCTTAAATATCTCGGAAATTATCCTTTTCCCTTTATAATCAATCAACAGCTGTACAATAATTGTTAATTAATTTTCAAGGAAAAAGAATAGCTAGAAAATAGCCATCTAAAATAATATTTCATCGAAATATCTTTTAAAAATGACATGTAAGGATTTTTAGCGCATGTTTCTTGCCTCTGACGTCACAATTCCAACTTAGTCGGTGAGGAGCCTTAATATTAATCATTAATATTAGAATATTTTTTGAAGTATCATGTAAGATTGGAAAAGAAAAGATATAATGTTTTCAGTATCATGAAGAATCAAATAGAATCGAAATTCGAAGCGACAGGTATAATCTCAAAACTACTCAATCAATCCTCATATACAGGGTAGGGTAAAAAGTATAGAAAAATCTCCAAAAATATAAATTTTACAGAACATTAATAAATTTTATAAAATTAATAAATATTAATAAAATTTTATTGAGTTAAAGGTTAAAAAAAAAAAAAACAATTTTTTGACATAACTGAATATTTTACAAAATATTTTACATTTTAAAATTTATAAAATTTATTAATAAAAGTTATTAATTTTATAAAATTAAAGTCTGTCAAAAAATTGTTAACTTCAAACCTTTATAACTCACAATAAAGTATTTTATTTATTAAGTATAATACTTAATATAATACTTAAGTATTAAGTATAATACTTAATAAAAAAATTTGTTATATCGTTTTGGAAAGCCCTCGAGATAAGCTGCAATAGTATGTAATAAAAATAGAAGAATCCATTGAAAAAATTCAAGAGAACCTTACCTTGACTTTGACAATGTCATTCAAGGTCAAACTGATAAGATTGACCTTGAAATAGGTTTTTTAAGGCCTACAACGTTTGTAAAACTTATATTTTCGAGATTTTCCATACTTTATCCCCGCCCTGTATAAATAATAATTGCTCTTCGCAATTGTGATCGCGAAATCAGCCTAAACCGCGGTGGTGTCGTCGGTGCTGCGCAAAAGCGCGGCCGCTTTGACGATGTCACCGCCGCACTGGTTCAGCATCATCTTGCAGTCCTCGAAGCTGACGAAGTTATTCTCGTTCTTGAGAAGACCCTGAAGTTTCACCAACTTGATCGCCACCAGGACGTCCCAATTTTTGGTGACGTTTAGCGCGGCGACGCAGGACTCCGGGGTCGACTGATCCTGTAGCACCTTCAGCATGATTCTGACCTCGTCGGACTTCTTCCCGTTGCGAGGCCCGCGGGTTCTCCACGTGTTCGGCCCGTCGCAAGCGAACTCCAGGAGGTCCTCGCAAGAGACGTGGTCCGACTGTCGCGACAGATCGCTCGATGACTCGTCGTTCGACAGGAGGTAGACGTTCGGGAGGGCGCTCGAGAAATCATCGTTCGAGCTAATGCATATCAGCGGTTTCTCGCACTGGACTGTCGCGAACTTGGACGTGGAGATCTCCTCCGCGTACGCGTGATTCGTTTGCGACGTATTGTAGTTCATTCCGGGAAGCTTCGCCGCGGGTGAAAACTGCGTTCTGCCTATCAGGGGATCCACTTTGTCCCAATCCTTCAATGTCGCGGAATTAGTCGACGTTGGATTACGATTTAAATCCGTTTCTACGTTTTCCTGGGTCTTGGAACCCTTCGCGAATTTCGCCGACTCGATGCCGACCTTTTTACGCAAACCGTCGATCAGTAAATGATTGCTCGTCCGTTGTTCGTCGTTGTTGCTCGTCGCCTCGCTCGGGACATTTTGAACTTGTTGCAAATCCGCCGATTCATCGTCGCAGTCGATTAAATTGTCCGAGAATTCCAAGAGATCCTCCGAAATCGCGCTACATCGTCGAAATCTAGTTTCTTCGATGGGTAAAGAATCCAGCGCCGCCAGCTCAAAGTCTATACGTTGCTCGAATTCCTCTGGGCTGAAAGAATTTAGTATACCCGAGTTACATATACAGAGTGTCTCATCTTAATCGATCACTTCACAAATTTTTGTTTTTGATTGCACAATAAAAATATTTCAAACAAAAGTTGTTTGATTTAAAGGGAAGATGGCGTTATTGTCTTGTCTAAAGAGCACTTTTCAAGGTCATTCGAAAATCATTATTTTTTTTAAATGAAGCCATATTTTTTTTTTAATAAATCAATTCCTCATAATTTTTAGCATAAAAAGTTATAAGCTATTAATATTTCATATTTAAATTTAGACATGATTTTACACAAACTCTGAAATATCTCGTAAACAATTCATTTTTTGACCATCTTACCCTTACAACTTTTGACGTCGAAAATTGCGAGGAATCGATTTATATAAAAACTATGGTGGTTCAATTTAAAATGCACAAATCAGCTTTAAATGACCTCGAAAATCGTCTTTAGGAATAAGTCAGTAGCGCCATCTTCCGTCCCCTTTTAAAGTCAAACAATTTTTCTATATACTTAAAGATACAAAAATTGAACAAATAAAGATGCTGAAATTCTACAAACCGTGGGAACTTACTTTTTCAGAGAATCAGCGACTCACCCGTTAATGGGGCCTTCCAGGGAGTAATTGTCCTGCGACGAGGTCCCGGCGATCGGCGAGTTGGCGCTCCGCATTGCGAAGTGGCCGTCCACCTGGTCCTCCGCGGCGGAGGTCGCGTTCACCGCCATCTTTGCCAGGGTCCTGGTGACCCCGCCTCCGGGAATGATCAGCGGGTGCTTGCGCTGGTGTCGAGGCAGGCTGGCCTTGGGCTGCAGCGTCTTGGAGCGATCCCTCCAAGGCAGCGGGATTGGGTTCTCGTCGACGTTGCTCTGATTTTGATTGTTCTCGATCTCCAGGCTGGAGTGGTGTCGCTCGAGGATGCGCGACTGCGGCAGGGGCAGGATCGCGTGGAGAGGAGGCGAGGCACGGACCTTGGGCAGAGTCCTGGCGCCGCTGTGGTGCATCTCGATGTGGAAGACCGGCTCGCTAGACGCGTTCTCCGACGACGACGACGACGACGACGTCGGGTGCGCCAAGGTGGCGTGCTTGTTCCCGCGAACCCTGGGCCTCACTATCGGCAACCCGGAGCGCAGCATGCGCAAAGGGTTGGTGTCACCGGGACTCTCCATGGTCGGCGTCTCCACCAGGCTGTTGTACACCTCCTTAGCTTCCTCCGACAGGGTGGCCTGAACAGGTCGCGGGAGGGGATAGACAGGAGGAGAGAAGAAATCAAATTATAACGAAAATAAGAGAATCGACGAAGAAACTATGGGCACATGGAATAAATAAACTCGCTTTCTCTCTCTCTCTCTCTCTTTCTTTCTCGCAAGAACATGCATATTTGCTTAGTGCGATAAAAAATTACATTCGATGACTTATTTCAAGATTCTCAATTTTTTGCATAAAACGCTATTATTTTAAGTAAATAAATTTATCTTTGTGGAAAAATAAGCAGAATTATCCTCCTTAAAAAAATTAATTATAATAATTTTCTAAGGAAAAATACAGTCAAATTTATATATTATTACATATTTGACAGAGTGTTTCTGAATTAGATGGCCAAACTTTAGAGACATATTCTGCTCATCGTAAGAATGAGAAAAAATTGTATGAACATAGAAATGGTTCATTTTCATTCTTACGACAGATACAATATGCTTTTACAGTTTTACCACTTTCTATATATAGAAATACTCTGTTTTGCTTCATTTTCTTTCATCATTTCTTCTTTTGCATTGTTTTTCTGCTATTTCACACTTGATTATATATACATCTATTCAGAATAATAATACACACAAAATTGTATTATTATTATACATACGACATTTTGTTTCTATATATACATTAAATAACAGATATAAAGCAAAACGATAAAAAAATAAATAAATTCTATACATAAATAATAAATAAAAGTGGCGACTATTTAAAACTACATATTATAATTCTCAGACATTCAATAATTCAAGAAAACAGAATTATTCTCTTAACTGTGTATTGTCATGTGTGTATTTTTACATAAAAAAATATGTTTGCGATGTAAAAAAATTTGTGATTATCTTATTGTTTTTATCTTTTATTTTATTTTTATTTAAATCTAAATGAAGCTTAATAAACAAGTTGCTTATTGATGATATATGTATAGCTTCATTTAAAAATTCTGTTTTTTTTTAGGTGTATATGTACAAATTTTATTTGTGTAAAAATTAATAATAGTCAATCAATCGTGTATATTACAACTTTGTATCTTCAAATACAATTGCTAGAAATGTGTAAAGGCATCCAAAGTTTCAGTATATGTTAATATTCAATTTAATAGTTGATACATGCAAGCATGCATATGTGAAATGCAAGGTTGAGAAAGTATAAAAGTATTTTTTTTTTATGTATAAAAGTCATTCATTATTGTTACTTGTTATATCGATTTAAAAAAGCAACTCGTCACTGTCAAAAAATAACGAGTTTACGTTACGTATTTAATGCTATTACAAGGCCAAATTTCATATAAAACGTACATATGTAAAAAAATTACATTTGTTAAAGAGAGATTTTCTTTATATAAAAATATAATTAATAAACTGATACTAATTATGTGTAAATATTATTTCATTTATGACAGAAAAAATTTATTGCAAAAAACGTTGCAAAAAATTTCTTTTTTTCTTAAGATGGTTTGTAAATGTAAATAAAAAATGTATATTTTCTTAGCTTTCTTTTTTAATATTTATCTTATCAAAATTGTCTTTTTGCACCTTTAATTTTATACAATTTTAAAATCCTGATAGGCTTATTTACTTTTTTTAACACGCAAAAATTTATAAAAATTGTTTTTATGTGTGTTTGTTTGTGTGGAAATTATGCCGGATATAATCGAAATAATAAAAGTAACTTGAATTTTTGTTATTTGTTACTAAAAAAGTTTTTTTCATTATAGATAAAAATTTATAATTATTATTACAATTCTACCGAAAAAGGTAAAATGTATTTTATAAAAAAATCTTTTAAGTAAAAATTCCTTAGTTTCGTGAACATTTTGATATGTATATATGTGAATGAAAAGATATCTAAAAAAAAGAAAAAAAAGATATATAAAAAATAAAATAAAACTTTCTCTAAAATTTTGTTTTCAAAAAAATTCACTTCAAAAATGGAAAAATTGATAAAATATTTACACATTTTTAAGTTTGAATTACATCTATAATAATATTGTTATATATATATATATATATATATATATATATATATATACTTATCAAATTTGTGTATAAAAATTATCTCAACAATGGCTATTAAAATATTGTATACGAGTATAAAAAGATATAAAATTATTTGTATTGAACACAAATCTTGCTATTTTATACATAATTTTTCTTTCTCTCCTTTTTTCTTTCTCTCCTTTTTTCTTAAGTAAATTATATTATATTATTTTATTTAAATAAACTAATATACTTTCTTTATTTGTGCATTGTTTAAAAAATTTAGTTTTTTTTTATAAAATATATAAAATTTCTTTATATTTATTGTATAATATATAAAAGTATAAAATATGCAAAAATAATCTGAAAAACTTTCCAAATAATTCAATAATAATAGTTATTATTAAGATAATGCACAATAATATATGCAAACTTATTAAATATTGTTTAAGCTTAAAAAAAAGCGTAAATATTTTATTAATTTTTCGATAAAACTTTATATTAATAGAGATCTCTTAACTCTAATTGCTAAAATCAATTTGTATTTAATGGATATAGTATTTAATTTATTGTATCTAAGAAATAAATATTATATTCAAAAATAATTCCAAGAATGAAATTGTTGATACTGAAATTTGATAAAAAATGGAATTTTTTTAGAAGTTCCGGCTTTTTTTATCATCACAGCAAAACCACTCAAGAAATTCTGAGATAAAAATGTGTGTCTGCGTGTTTATATGTAAATTCGAATATTTTATACAATTGCTTAATATTCTATTATAGATATAATAAATATTTAATGCTATTAATATCGGACAATATATAATATAATATAGTATATTGTGTATCAAGTGCGGAAAGTTGACAATTGGTCACGAGTGCGGGGGATGGACGCACGAGCCGAAGGCGAGTGCGACCACCCCAAACGAGTTTACAATTGTCAATCCGCACGTGATACACATACTATTTTGTATTACAAGTGCAGGCAAAATGGCTTTGTGCGCGTTTTCTGTGCGGGAGGTGGCCGATCGCACGCCGCCATCTTGCGGCGGCACGGTGCGAGAATAGCCGTAGGAAATGGCTTTGAATGCGGCTTATTCACTCACCGCGTCGCCGCTAGATGGCGGCATGGGAAATCGGCTGCTTTCCGCACAGAAAACACGCACACAAAGTGCCACTTTGCCTGCACGTGTAATACAAAAGTTATTTACTATGTTCTACTTGTATGAATGCCTCGTGTATCAAATATACATTATTTTATGTTGTAATAATATACGATATCAGAAAAAAGTAAAAAGAAACTTTTTCAAAATTACTTTCAATAAAATTCATAGAAATGTTATATTACCAAATTATAAATTTCCATTCTTAAAAAGACTTTTCTCTCTTTCTCTCTTTCTAACCACTCTGCGAAATGATAATACAGTATCAAGGCAATAAAAGAAGAAAGCTACATTTCCAATAAGACTGAAGCGTAAAACTGCTCTTTAAGGAGCCGGGGAGGGAGGAAATGTCAAAGCGTCGCTCGTGAACTCCGGATACTCGGAGCTGGTGTCCGAGTCGAAGTCGGAGTTGCTGGTGAACGTGAGACTCGAGCTCGGCGCGCTTTCCGGCCAGGAGAGCAGATTGTTCTTGGAGGAGAAGGGCGGCGAGAGCGAGTTGAGAAAGCTCGTCGAGGGCGGCGGCGACTTCCCGCAGAGCTCGACCGTGGAGAGACCCTTCGCGGAGTCCGGGTGGAGAAACGGGGCCTTGTACTTGAGGTTCAAGCGCAGGTTGTGCGGCACGCCCCTCTTGTGCCGGCGCTTGTAACGCAGCCGGCTCCGGATGTCCATCTCCGAGTGGGAGACCGAGTCCGAGTCCTCGCTAGAGTCGTTCCGGGAGTGGAAGGACCTGCGGATGTTCTTCACCGGCTTCCTGCTGTTCTCCGACAGCGAGGACGTGCGGTGCCGGTAGGCGTTCACAGCGCTGCAGAGCTTCTCCGGGAGCATGTCCAACTTGGGCAGCTCCTTCCTGGGCGCGGGCTCGTTCTGGTACAACTTGGGCGGCTCCAGGATGTGCTGGTGAACGGTGGGACTCGTCGGCGGGTTTAGCTTCTGCAGCTGCACGTTGCAGCACTGCTTCTGCAGGGGTATGTTCAGGTCCAGGTGCTTCGGCTTCTGAATCGGGATGTTCAAGCTGCGCAGGGACGAGTGGGCCGACAGATCCAGGTTCCTCATGTTGGATACCAGCGACCTGGACGCGGCGGTCTCCAGGTTCCGCGAGTTCTGCGCGTTCTTCCCGAGCTGCATCATGTTCTGCGTCAGCTTGCCCAGACCCAAGTTCAGGCTTTGGACCTTCTTGAAGTCCAGGTAATTCTTCACGCTCTCCAGGCCGAGGACCTCGCGCTGATACTTCTCCGCGAGGAGCTTGCTGTTTAGCTCCACCTGACTCGCCTCCGCGTCGGATTTCCGTCGCAGACGCTGGAAGTTCACTCGCAGACTCTCGGAGCTGCTGTAGATCGGGGACTCCTTCTTCTCCGACTCCGCGATGAACAGAGGATTGTTCGAGATGACGAACGGGAAGCCCTCGTGGCCGTTCTGGTTCTGCTCGAGCTTGCGGAAGCTCTGTATGTTGATCTTCATCCCCTCCACGTTGCCCCTCGGACTGTCCAGGCCGTCCGGTTTCTTAATGTTGTCCGAGGAACCGTACGTGGCCGCGTCCTGACTCGCGTTTCTAGGCACGAAGGGCTTCTTCGCGCTCTTAACCTTGGCAAAGTCGAGCTTCTTGAACTCGGTGATGTTCAGCTTCGTGGACTCGGCGAAGGTCACCGGGATCTTGGGCCTGGTACCGAGATCAAAGTTCGCTTTGTCGAACTTGTTGGGTTTGTTACGGGGAGACTCCAGATTCGCCATCTTCTCCTTCAACATGTCGAAGTTCTCGTCGGGCCACGAGTTGTTGTTCTTCGCCTGTTGCTGCTCGCAATTGTTTAGCTTACTCTGATGCAGGCTCGCCTGATTCACTCTACCGCCCACCGAGGAGTTCTGCTCCAGAGGGTTCATGTAATACCTGCTATTGGGTTGTTCCAAGTTATTGAGCTCCTCCCCGAAGTGCACCTTCTCACCCAGCACGGCCTCGTCGTCGCAGTACTTGGGCAGCTCGAAGTAACGCTCGACGTAGTTGGCGGAGACTCTTTTCACCTCGTTGGGTAGGTCGTACATGGTGTTGTCCATGTTGAAGATCTTGCCGTTCTGATGGGGTCGAGGGTTCTTAGACCTGGCGGCTTCGGCGGCCTCGTTCTCGTAATTCAAATGGTTCTTCTTGCTCTCGCTTCTCAGGAACTCGGTGGACTTCACCAGGCTCTGCCTCGCCTGGTGATTGTCCAGTAGATGCGCGTCCAGATCGATGTCCATGTACGAGGTCCAGGCGCTCGGCTTCGTCAAGAGCTCCCGCGACTTCGCGAAGCAGAATTCCGCCGACGCTTTGTCCCACAGGGGCAGTTTCAAGGTCGACGGCGCGCCGAGGGACTCTATGCTCGACACCGTCGACGAGAGCGATTGCAGGCTCGAGCACAGCCACTTTACGTTCAGCGGGAAGGTGGGTCATGGGAAATGAAGCAGATGCATGCGGATGTACGCGTTTGATATACAGTTAGCAGAGAAGAGTTTTTGGAGAGAGTTTGCAGTTTTGCCGGCGAAAATAAATAAAACGTGATTTTTGATGGTGGAATTAAAAATGACAGAGTCAAATGATATGCAGTAAAACATAGAGAAATAAATGAGAAGTAATGAGAGGGGAAAAGGAGATCAGAGACAAATCGAGATTAGTTATGTTATAAGTGAATAAGCAGCACTAGATTAAGAAACTTAAAGATACGATTAATCAACTCTTCAAAGTATGTAAATGTACGAGTGATTGTAAAATATACCTATACCTATTTTTTATATCAGGTGACAGCAGGAATTAACCCTTTGTTCCATAACAGTGTCGAAATTGTTTTAAATAATATTAAAATATGTATGTTTTAAATTATTTTAATATATATAATGTGTGTGTATATATATATATATATATATATATATATATATATATATATATATACTATATATATATATATATATATATTAATATTATTTAATTAAAATTGTTTTAAATAATATTAATATGTATGTATATATAAGCTTATAACTAGTAATACAATCGAAAAAGGAAATCGATATGAAAAAATAAGTCAAAAATGAAGACTGAAATTTTTTCATACAAAGCTGTTTCAAAATCGTGCGAAAAATTCCAAATTGAAAAAATCAATAATATTTATGCTTTTTTAAAATAAATTTGATCAATTTATAATATAAGACAAAGTTGTTGATTATTTAAAAACGCATAACGCAATATTCTAATATTTAAAGTCAAATTTATCGAAAACAAAATTTCGTATAGAAAAATGTATTCTGAATTTTTTTAGTTTTTCTTCTATGTACAATTATTACCTTCCTGATTGCACTTTTAATTACGTCTATATGTATGTGTAGATTATTCAATTCTATTGTAGTCATATCAAATTTAAATCTAAATAAATATCTTGCCATATTTATAAATATTTGATTGCCAGGGTAATTTTTCGCACAATTTTTTATGTATTAAATATGTATAAAAAAGTGTAATGACGTGTGTATATAACATCTTACTGCTGCAGTATGTTAAATATTAATTTTAAAAAATAAACAAACAAAGGAAGAATTATTTCTAATTGACTAGCTTGAGAAAACAACTATAATCTATAATGCAAATAATAAATCTAAGAAACGAATAAAATCTTACTAATATTTTTCATCATTTGTTGCTCCGTTGCAACATTTCTATGCTTTAGCATATTATTAATCCATATTCTAAAAATGTCAAATAATTTTGCAAAATTTTTAAATGATTGTATAAATCGTAACAAAAATTTTGTTATTAAATAAGGAAAATATAATGAAGACTTTCTTAAACGTGTCTTCCTTTGTTGCGACTTTTAAAATACACTTTTGTGATAAAAGGAAACAAAAACCTGTGTTGTACCTGTATATCAGGTATACTGGCAGCTTCTTCCGAAAAATGTCGTCTATCTGGTTTGGGACTGTATTGATGTGGCAACTTAAAAGAGAATTTTCTGCGTCTTGAAGGACTGGCAGGTGTATGGGGAGACTCCGGTGGATGTTCAAGATCTGTCATGGAACGTGCTGTCAATTCCTGTGCCATAGCAATGGCTGAGTAGAGAGTTTTCTGATCGGCAGCTGAGATAGGTTTCACCTAGATACACAAGAGAAATGTTTACCCTCTCCGTCGTGGTTTAACGGTAGATCAACATTTCTGTCTGTGCAATTTCCCGTCTTTCTATTAGCTTACAAATACAAATTTAAAATTTTTTCATCATATTAAATATAGATCTAGAAAAATAGTGCGATAGAATCTTGATTGCATTGAATTTGAATCATCATTTTTATATAAGAGTTCTAATCAAATTGATTTTTTATTTTTTAACTTAATAATAGATATTGTATAAATATACAAAAATATATAAAAATAAAAATAATATTTGAAGATTGCAAATAATAAGTAAGAAATGAGTAATAACGTTAAATACACTGAATATATATAAACTATAATATGTAATAATGAAAAATAATAAAAGATTACTGTACATTTATTGGACTCACGGTGGCTTGTTTCTTCTTGCTGCATTGCTTCGCTTGAATTTCCCGCAATTCGTTTCTCACGTTGCTCGATTCGTGTTCACTCGATAAAGGATGACCCGGTGGTGGAGGCGGAGGAGAAGAACCTGTACAATAAAACATAATAATGCGTGAGAAATCATTTTCGTGCCTCTTACATAAAAAAAAAGTATATTTTTATATTTAACGTTTTCCAACATTTCTTTACCTAACGATCGGAACATTTGATCCATTTCTGCCAAAAGGCTCGGACCAAAATCGAAATTCAACGCCTTATCAAATCTTAATGGACTTTCTTGGTTCTCTTCATCGCTAATTTCGTGATACTCGTGATCAGCTTCGAGAGTATCAGTGTTGCTGCCTACGTTAGACACAGATTGTTTCTTCGCATTACTTTCTGCATTCACTGGACATATCTCCGAACTCGTATCAGACCATAAGCTCTCTATATAAACACACATATAAGATAATGTTATCATATTTTCAAAATAGCACAAAGATTAAGTATGACTAATATTTCATCGATACTTTATTTTACGTGCAAAATTTCCTAATTCCCATATAATCAAGTTGTGTCTCATGAAATTACGTAAAATATTGCAATTTTATTAAATAAATTCACGGGCATGTATTCAAGCATATATACAGAATGCCTCAAAAGTCCTGCAACACAGTCAAATATCTTGAAAATAGTTTGAAAAAAAAAATGTTTCAAATAAAAGTTGTAAGACGCATTAAAAAGTAATATTAGTGTAGATTTATATAAAAAAAATATAGTGATTCTATTTTAAAAAATATAATTGACCTTCAGATGACCTTGAAGAGCACCCTTCAGAAAAATATCAGCAATTTGGTCGTACAATTAAAAATAAAAAACAATTTTAGGAGTGATCGATTAAAAAATAGATTTATATAAAAAAATATAGTGATTCTATTAAAAAAAAAAAAAAAAACATAATTGACCTTCAGATAACCTTGAAGAGCACCCTTCAGAAAAATGTCAGCAGTTTGGTCGTACAATAAAAAATAAAAAAAACAATTTTAGGAGCGATCGATTAAAATGGGCCACTCTGTATACATAGTCGACACAAATACTTGTAAAAATATATAACGAGACAGAAAATATCGGTACCATGTTTGCTCTGAGTTTCCTGTTGTATACTTCTGCTATCCCTGGTCGATTCTCTGTTCGTGTCGACGCTCCTCGCGTCCTGATTCAGACTCTGCGAATTATCGATCGCGTCCTCTTGCGGCTTGTACGGCGTCACGACTTGGCGGGGCAAGTGCGGGTACTTGTCGCCGAGGAAGCTGATGTCGCCGAAGTACGCGCCGTCGAGGCCCACGTGACCGGTATGCTTGAGATCGCCCTGCGGCGAGGATATCATATCCGTGCGAATCTTCCGACGCTGTGACGAGAAGGCATTCTTGCCATCTCCTCGCGTGAACTCGCCAAGCTTGTTGCTGGGCAGATTCGAGCCGAGATACGCGATCGTGTGCGCCGGATTGAAGAGACCGGTCTTACCGTTGTTCAGGACGCCCTTCCACAGAGCGTTGCCGTTGCCCTTGTCCAGGACCGTGATTATATCGCTCTGACGGTAGACCAGCTGATTCGGCTCGGTGCTGTCTTGGACCGCCTGAACTTGCTCCGGCTTCAAATCGGGCAACAGATTAATCAGCTCGGAGAACTTGGGTCTCTTCTGGGACTCGTGTTGCCAACACTGCTGCATGAGAGAGAAATAGTCCTTCGGGCAGCACTCCGGTTGCTCGAGCCTCTGAAAATTAGGCTCGTCTATTGCCTCGAGGATCTGATGGCCGGTCAACGCGGCCCAGGGTTGAAAGCCGTAGCTGAAGATCTCCCACAGAGTCACCCCGTACGCCCAGACGTCGCTCGCCGACGTGAACTTGAGGTAGGATATGCACTCGGGCGCGCACCAAGCGATGGGCAGCTTCAGGTTGACATTGAAATTCGTCTGGTAGTAATCCTTGCCGACTCCCAGAGCGCGCGACAGCCCGAAGTCCGAGATCTTCACCTTGTTCTTCGAGAATACGAGGATGTTCCGGGCCGCCAGGTCGCGATGAATCAGTCTCTTCGCTTCCAGGTACTGCATCCCGTCGGCGATCTGCACGGCAAAGTCGCACAGCGACAGGACCGGGAAGCTTGAACGCAGACTGGGCTCCTTCAGGCACTCGAGCAACGAGCGCAAAGGCGCGAGCTCCGTGACGAGCATCAGCGAGTTCGTGTCGAGGACGACGCCGTAGAGTCGCACGATGTGCTCGTGATCAATCGCGTGCATGATCGCGGCCTCCTTCAGAAACTCTATGGGGTTGTTCTGCATCCTCTCGCGGGACAGGCACTTGATGGCGACCTGAATCCTCTCGCCGTCGTTGGTCCACACGCCCTGCTGGACGACCCCGAACTCCCCGGTCCCCAACTCCTTGTTCACGATGATCGCGTCCGCGGGAATCATGTGCTTGTTGGGCACGCGGATCGACGGTCTGTCCTGCCTCTCTTCCGGCAGCATGTTCAGGACGCCCGGGGTCTGCTCCTCGCGCTTCGGTAGCAGCATCTTCTTGAACTTGGAGAGGTAGTTCTGCGGGAAGTGCTTCTGGAAGTATTTCTTCAGACGGCGCATCTCTGGTTTGCTCATCCCTATCGCGTTTAGATCCTCTTCCGTCACATACTTCAGCTGGGCTGTTGTTTGCACCTTCAGGTCACCTGATAAATAAGGTATAAATATCATTAAATTTAAATTATAAGGCTCCCGAATATAATATTAATAAATATAAATATAATATATAATGTAATAATACAATATTAATATAAATATAATATAATAATACAGGGTGTCCCATTTTAATGTTCCACCCCAAATAAATTTTTTATTTTTGATTGTAGAAAAAAATGTTTCAGACAAAATTGTATGACTTCAAGGAGGACATAAGGTGGTGCCATTAGTTTGACCTTGAATAGTTGTTTGAAGGTCACGTAAAGATTACCTTGAGGTGAGATCTTGTCTTAAAACTCAAAAAGTACTTGAGATAAAAGTGTTTCGTTATAGTGTTTTGGAAAGCTCTCGATGTCAGCTACAAGAATATGTAATAAAAAGTAGGTAGATAATTTAAGAAATTAAAGGTGACCTTCACATGAACCTCAAGCAACTATTCAAGGTCAAACTAATGGCACCACCTTATGTGCTTCTCGAAACCATACAACTTTTGTCTGAAACATTTTTTCTACAATCAAAAATAAAAAACTTATTTAGGGGTGAGACATTAAAATGGGACACCCTGTATAATAGAAACTTATATTAATATAAATAATTAAAAATAAATTTTTATATTAATATATAAATAAACTATAATATAATATACACTTTTTTGTAAAATAAGAAATAATTATGGTTTTAAAAATATAATATTATTTAATGAATATAATATAAATAAACTTATATTGATATATAAATATAATATTAATATATATAATTTATATTATAAATATAAATAAACTATAACATAATATAAACTTTCTTGTAATAAGTAATAATTATGGTTTTAAAAATATAATTATTTAATAAAAATTATGATATAATATAAATATACTTATGTAATTTACATACTTATATTAATATAAATAAATTTATATTAATATTTAATTTTCACATCTCTTAAAATATTATTTAAAAAATATATGCATAATAAAATATGAGTAAAAAAATAAAACTACCTCGAATTCCAGGATAATATTGCTGCAATTCGGCTTCCATAAGGAACTCATAAAGACCAGGTCCATTGTTGCGAGACATTTCTACTTGTGTATCTAAAATCAAATAAAATTTACGATTAGTACCTATATAAAATATATATATATATATATAAAATAATATTTATAATAATTCTCAATAAATTTACTATATTATAAAATTACAAGACATACTATGAAAGAGTATCATAGGAAACAATGCGTTGAAAATAAAAGATAATATTTTTATCAAATAGAGACGAATCATTTTGTTTATTGATTAGCTATTATTAAAAAACAAGGCTATTTTATGTAATAATATCACTTTTAAGAATTTATTTAACTGTATAGTGCTTAAATTCCGGAAACAGATTAAAAAAAAATATATTTTTAGCCGCAACGAGGGAAACAAATCATTCCTTCAAATTCATAAAAAACACATTTAATATTTCATATTTCTTTAACATGAAATAATCTTGAAACTACTATTTTAGTATAAAGTATATAATCTTGAACCTAATATTATATTTTATGTTCACTTTAATATTATTACTAAAAATTCTATATAATAACCAACTTAATTTGTTAATTATTTTTATTCTTCAAAAACACTATCTCTAAAAAAATTCTTTAATATATATTTCTGATAATTATTACTATAAAAACAATTATCATATATTCAGATATTTTCAAGATTTTTAATTGTTGCAATTTATATATTTTGTAAAATGGAACAAAAACGATGAGAAAAAATATAGTAAAATTAATAAGTTTATCTAAAAAGAAGATGAAAATTTGTGCATGGAATACATATTATCAATATTATATAAATCCAGACATAAAAATGAAATTTAATAAATTAATAATAATTAGAGTTACGATCTAATAATAAATTATAATCGTATATAATAATAAACATTAATTTTTGACGTTATCTTATGTTACTCAATGATCAAATTTAAATCACAAATTAATAAGGATAAGCATTAAGAATTTTTAAAAATAAAAACATGTTTCTATCAAAACTATATAAATTGCATTTTCCTATCTCATTTAATTTCAAAAAATTACATATATAAATTAAAATAAGTATGATATGACGATATACATTATATAAATACAACAAAAATCGTGCATCGTCTGCTATTAAATTGCGTTAATAAATGCGTAATAAAAGCAGGATTTGCAATATTGGTGACGGCACAATTTTTACATCGTGACAGCGAAAACGTGGCAAGGATACAAACCTAATACATCAAATTAAAGGACGACCTGATATATCAAATACTGACAGTAGAAATACAGCAAAAATCGAGCAGAGTCAACGGGGCAAAAATAGAACACGCCTGGTATAAACGCAATTATATTAATTAAATCTAATTAAAATGGGAAATGGATTATTTAAAATGTTAGCGAAGCGCAGATTCTCTTCTTCTAATCTCTTGATTAATTTGATAAAAATTTCACTTCCTGTGGATATAATTGAAATTTAAATATATAATAAATGAATCTAATAATATATCTATTTTTTTAACTTTATGAAACAAACTAGCTTTATAGATCAACATAATTTTTTACTTTTAGTCACTGTATGAAATAAAATTAACTTAAGTTAATTCACCATTTAAATTGTGATGAATTTTGATTGGTTTAGGACTGAATGCATCTTAAACTAATGTTAGTTATATTTTTTTCTTTAAATTATAATTTTAAAAAGTTAACTACAACTGCATAATGTAAAAAAAAATTTGCAATTAACATCCATTTTAAACAGAGCGAATTTATATCAGCGCAACCTGTCCTAAATCAAAATCAAAATCTGACATGTAAACATATAATTTTCTCACCCATTCTACGCTATCGTAGGAAGATATAAGACGATTTCTCTTCCCCTTGACATAAAATACGACGAAATGTTGCTCTCCTATCCTATCAGGACATGATCGCATTCGTTTCGGTTTCCTTTTCACTTCGTCATTTTACCTTGAATAATTTATATCGTACATTTATTACATGACATCCTAGATATGCGATACAACTCGTCATTTACACCCCAGATCTTTTACTCAATAAACAATAAAATTGTTATTTAAAATAAAATTTATCAGAATTAATTTAATAGAAGATTTCTGTGGTATCATTAAAAAAATACAAAACAAAGTTATAATTATATATATATATATATTTACATACATATATTTAATTAAAAATGTTTTTTTAATAATTTTTAATGAAAAAGTTATAAGAATAAACTGTAAATAATTATATAAATAATTTTTTAAAAATTATATAAATAATATATTATTATTATATATAAATTTATATATAATACAAATATATATTAAATAAATAAACTTATATATAATATTATTCATATAATTTTTAAAAAATATTTAATTATATATAGTTTATTCTTATAACTTTTTCATTAAAAATTATAAACACTTTTCTTAAATAATTCAGAAATGCTAAAAATAAAATACAACAAAATAAATATGACAAATAAATGAAAAAATGTTTCTTATAGCATTAAACTCACTTTTATGCCTGTATGAAGTTAGCCCCCCATTTTTCGAATTTTAAAATTTTAAAGGTTGTTCCAGGTTGTTCTAGACTTGTTCTAAATTGTTCCAAAAGATCAAATTTAAAAAATAAAAATTTTCGCGAAAAATGGAAAAAAACGATTTTTTGACCTGGCCCCCCATTTTTCGAAAATCGAACTTTTAAAGGTTGTTCCAGATTGTTCTAGTTGTTCTAAACATTGTTCCAAAGTGATAATTCCCTAAACAAAATATTTCACGAGATATAATAAAAAAATAGTTTCGTGCGCTAAAACAGTATTTTTACGTTTTCGGCTATAGTTATTATCTCTTAAACACCAAACTGTATATTTTAGCTAAAAACGAACAGAACAACCTGGAACAACTCTCAATTTTGCTAGAACATAATTTTAAAGAGTACTTTACTCTTGGAAATAAACATATTTTTGTTGTTTTTTCGTGTTTTTCGACCGATAACGACGTGACAGCGATCCCAAACTATAGAACAATTACGTACTGGCATAGAACAACTTGGAACAACTCTCAGTTTTGCTGGAACATTATTTTAAAGAGTACTTTACTCTTGGAAATAAACACATTTTTTTTGTTTTTTCATCTTTTTTGCTCGCTAAAGTTGCGATAGCGGTCCCAAACTATAGAACAATTACGTACTGGCATAGAACAACTTGGAACAACTCTCAATTTTGCTAGAACATAATTTTAAAGAGTACTTTACTTTTGGAAATAAACACATTTTTCTTGTTTTTTTGTGTTTTTCGACCGATAACGTCGCGACAGCGGTCCCAAACTATAGAACAATTACGTACTGGCATAGAACAACTTGGAACAACTCTCAGTTTTGCTAGAACATTATTTTAAAGGGTACTTTACTCTTAGAAATAAACACATTTTTTTTGTTTTTTCATCTTTTTTGCTCGCTAAAGTCGCGATAGCGGTTTCAAACTATAGAACAATTACGTATTGGCATAGAACAACTTGGAACAACTCTCAGTTTTGCTAGAACATAATTTTAAAGGGTACTTTACTCTTGGAAATAAACACATTTTTTTGTTTTTTCATCTTTTTTGCTCGCTAAAGTCGCGATAGCGGTCCCAAACTATAGAACAATTACGTACTGGCATAGAACAACTTGGAACAACTCTCAATTTTGCTAGAACATAATTTTAAAGAGTACTTTACTCTTGGAAATAAACATGTTCTAGTAAAATTGAGAGTTGTTCCAAGTTGTTCTATGCCAGTACGTAACTGTTCTATAGTTTACGATCGCTGTCGCGACTTTAGCGGGCGAAAAAGATGAAAAAACAAAAAAAAATGTGTTCATTTCCAAGAGTAAAGTACCCTTTAAAATGATGTTTTAGCAAAACTGAGAGTTGTTTCAAGTTGTTCTATGCCAGTACGTAATTGTTCTATAGTTTGGGACCGCTGTCGCGACGTTATCGGTCGAAAAACACAAAAAAACAAGAAAAATGTGTTTATTTCCAAGAGTAAAGTACTCTTTAAAATTATGTTCTAGCAAAATTGAGAGTTGTTCCAAGTTGTTCTATGCCAGTACGTAATTGTTCTATAGTTTGGGACTGCTATCGCGACTTTAGCGAGCAAAAAAAAAAATGAAAAAAAAAAAAATGTGTTTATTTCCAAGAGTAAAGTACCCTTTAAAATAATGTTCTAGCAAAACTGAGAGTTGTTCCAAGTTGTTCTATGCCAGTACGTAATTGTTCTATAGTTTGGGACCGCTATCGCGACTTTAGCGAGCAAAAAAGATGAAAAAACAAAAAAAATGTGTTTATTTCCAAGAGTAAAGTACTCTTTAAAATAATGTTCCAGCAAAACTGAGAGTTGTTCCAAGTTGTTCTATGCCAGTACGTAATTGTTCTATAGTTTGGGACCGCTATCGCGACTTTAGCGAGCAAAAAAGATGAAAAAAACAAAAAAATGTGTTTATTTCTAAGAGTAAAGTACCCTTTAAAATAATGTTCTAGCAAAACTGAGAGTTGTTCCAAGTTGTTCTATGCCAGTACGTAATTGTTCTATAGTTTGAGACCGCTGTCGCGACGTTATCGGTCGAAAAACACAAAAAAACAAGAAAAATGTGTTTATTTCCAAGAGTAAAGTACTCTTTAAAATTATGTTCTAGCAAAATTGAGAGTTGTTCCAAGTTGTTCTATGCCAGTACGTAATTGTTCTATAGTTTGGGACCGCTATCGCGACTTTAGCGGGCAAAAAAGATGAAAAAACAAAAAAAATGTGTTTATTTCCAAGAGTAAAGTACCCTTTAAAATAATGTTCTAGCAAAACTGAGAGTTGTTCCAAGTTGTTCTATGCCAGTACGTAATTGTTCTATAGTTTGAGACCGCTGTCGCGACGTTATCGGTCGAAAAACACAAAAAAACAAGAAAAATGTGTTTATTTCCAAGAGTAAAGTACTCTTTAAAATTATGTTCTAGCAAAATTGAGAGTTGTTCCAAGTTGTTCTATGCCAGTACGTAATTGTTCTACAGTTTGGGACCGCTATCGCGACTTTAGCGGGCAAAAAAGATGAAAAAACAAAAAAAATGTGTTTATTTCTAAGAGTAAAGTACCATTTAAAATAATGTTTTAGCAAAACTGAGAGTTGTTCCAAGTTGTTCTATGCCAGTACGTAATTGTTCTATAGTTTGGGACCGCTGTCACGTCGTTATCGGTCGAAAAACACAAAAAACAAGAAAAATGTGTTTATTTCCAAGAGTAAAGTACTCTTTAAAATTATGTTCTAGCAAAATTGAGAGTTGTTCCAAGTTGTTCTATGCCAGTACGTAATTGTTCTATAGTTTGGGACCGCTATCGCAACTTTAGCGAGCAAAAAAGATGAAAAAACAAAAAAATGTGTTTATTTCCAAGAGTAAAGTACTCTTTAAAATAATGTTCCAGCAAAACTGAGAGTTGTTCCAAGTTGTTCTATGCCAGTACGTAATTGTTCTATAGTTTGGGACCGCTATCGCGACTTTAGCGGGCAAAAAAGATGAAAAAACAAAAAAAATGTGTTTATTTCCAAGAGTAAAGTACCCTTTAAAATAATGTTCTAGCAAAACTGAGAGTTGTTCCAAGTTGTTCTATGCCAGTACGTAATTGTTCTATAGTTTGGGATCGCTGTCACGTCGTTATCGGTCGAAAAACACAAAAAAACAAGAAAAATGTGTTTATTTCCAAGAGTAAAGTACTCTTTAAAATTATGTTCTAGCAAAATTGAGAGTTGTTCCAAGTTGTTCTATGCCAGTACGTAATTGTTCTACAGTTTGGGACCGCTATCGCGACTTTAGCGGGCAAAAAGATGAAAAAACAAAAAAATGTGTTTATTTCTAAGAGTAAAGTACCATTTAAAATAATGTTTTAGCAAAACTGAGAGTTGTTCCAAGTTGTTCTATGCCAGTACGTAATTGTTCTATAGTTTGGGACCGCTGTCACGTCGTTATCGGTCGAAAAACACAAAAAAACAAGAAAAATGTGTTTATTTCCAAGAGTAAAGTACTCTTTAAAATAATGTTCCAGCAAAACTGAGAGTTGTTCCAAGTTGTTCTATGCCAGTACGTAATTGTTCTATAGTTTGGGACCGCTATCGCGACTTTAGCGAGCAAAAAAGATGAAAAAACAAAAAAAATGTGTTTATTTCTAAGAGTAAAGTACCCTTTAAAATAATGTTCTAGCAAAACTGAGAGTTGTTCCAAGTTGTTCTATGCCAGTACGTAATTGTTCTATAGTTTGAGACCGCTGTCGCGACGTTATCGGTCGAAAAACACAAAAAAACAAGAAAAATGTGTTTATTTCCAAGAGTAAAGTACTCTTTAAAATTATGTTCTAGCAAAATTGAGAGTTGTTCCAAGTTGTTCTATGCCAGTACGTAATTGTTCTATAGTTTGGGACCGCTATCGCGACTTTAGCGGGCAAAAAAGATGAAAAAACAAAAAAATGTGTTTATTTCCAAGAGTAAAGTACCCTTTAAAATAATGTTCTAGCAAAACTGAGAGTTGTTCCAAGTTGTTCTATGCCAGTACGTAATTGTTCTATAGTTTGGGATCGCTGTCACGTCGTTATCGGTCGAAAAACACAAAAAACAAGAAAAATGTGTTTATTTCCAAGAGTAAAGTACTCTTTAAAATTATGTTCTAGCAAAATTGAGAGTTGTTCCAAGTTGTTCTATGCCAGTACGTAATTGTTCTACAGTTTGGGACCGCTATCGCGACTTTAGCGGGCAAAAAAGATGAAAAAACAAAAAAAATGTGTTTATTTCTAAGAGTAAAGTACCATTTAAAATAATGTTTTAGCAAAACTGAGAGTTGTTCCAAGTTGTTCTATGCCAGTACGTAATTGTTCTATAGTTTGGGACCGCTGTCACGTCGTTATCGGTCGAAAAACACAAAAAAACAAGAAAAATGTGTTTATTTCCAA